TACATCGGCGCAGGGCGGGTGGGGGGACACAAGACCTGTAAGTGTTACTGAATTGCAGCAGAGAAAAAATAGGTGGTCTGTTGCCCTGCCAGACAGGGCTGTGTTGTTGGGTAGGCCTGTGCAAATATTAAAACAGGATGGACAGAAATATTAGTCTACAGGCAGGGAACACAGCCCCAATATACACTGAGTGGCCAGTTTTTTATGACCACCTGACATTTTTTAGGCAAATTAGCTATAATGAGCTATAATTTCGCGTATGTATTTAATTTTTTTTTGCCTAGAGTTCAACTTTAAACATAAAAACTTTGTTGCGCTCACCATCATTGTGCTTTGCTACTTACAGAGTTATTAATCAGGAACAAACAGTACTCTTGACCTGCAAAGGAACTGATCTTTTTTAGCTTTAAAACAAGCAAGGAATGGGACCTTCCATTTTACTGTATTGGCAGGTCCTCTTTAACACTGGTTCATATCCAGGACTCACCACACTTGTGATTGGGCAATGAAGGAACAGCACATTATTGAAGTAATTCCTGTGCTCTTCCCTTCTGGAAGCAAGCTCACATGTGGACACTGCAAAAGCAATGGAGCCCTTATGGGCTCAAAGTGCTGACCTTCCCTTTCCCATTCTGAAAGCTTCTGTGCGGGGGTTTACAGGAGGCTGATGCCAAGATAGGATTTGATAAAACTTGCTGGTTTAAAAAAACTTAAAAGTGTAATTATTAGTTGATGAATCCATAACTGGGTTAAATGGTGGTTATTTATATCTGCCTGGAGTTCAGCTATAAAATGCACACCGTGGGGTGAGAGATTAAGAGTTGACATATGAGTGGTTGCTAAGGCACTGTATTTTCTGTGCTCTAGTTTTCATAAATCAATCTTTTGTATTGTTATATGAACAAAGGCTCTTTACGCACAATACTGTACATATCAGGGTACGCAAGTTGTAAAAATAACTAGGATTAGTTAATATATGGCGAAATCATTTTCCACCTTTTAGGGTTCATGCAAATGGGTATTTTAAATACATGGATATAGAGCTTTTTAAAGCCCAGAGCAAACATATGTGACACCTTACCGTCATACCTATTATATGTTCAAAAGTAGATGCACACTAAGTCATGATCCGAGTGCCTGACAGCTGTATGAAAAAGGAGGGGACCTGGGGGCATACCTTATCCCACCAGTTGAATGTCCCCCCCTCTCTCTGCTGGGGAGAGGGCCACCGGCAGTTAAGTGCACATGTCATAATTACGGACATGCGTAATGATGTCGAGCGGGTGATGACGTCGTGCACGCACGTAATGACTCCACGCACGCATGTAATGACGTCCCGGCAGGTGACATCCGGCAGCCGCTCCGGGTGACACCCAGCATGGGGCTGCCTCTGAGCATAGTTGTAGTCTTTGACAGCTTTCTGTAGCATTACATTCACTGAATATTATCTGCAGCCCTTTAGAGTTGTCAGGGCCGACACTTGAGGCCCACTACATCAGGTAAGTTGATCCCTTCTGCTATAGAGAGTCATTGTTCTGTAGTTTAAGATAAGAACTGGGAGGACTCCCCGCGATGACACAGGAAGTGTGTGCGGGATACAGGACACCCCTGCATCTCTGACACAATCGTCGGGTATATTTTTTAGAACTTATCCTAAAGATATAACAAAACACTTTCAACTGCATATTTTATAGACCACAAGAGAGCAAATAAGAGAAGTTCATTGTCAGGGTTTATATTCACTTTAATAAAAAGTCAAAGTCTTTCATTATATTTTTAAATATATATATATATATGTGGATGTAATTGTAAATATTGTAATTGTAAATATTTCCTATCAGTGTGTGTTAGAAACATTGTTTAAATGTATAGTTTGTAATTATATATGTATGTACATGAGATCAGCGATATTTGCTTGTTACATATTGTGCCTCCGACTTTTTAGTTTTGGATAGCGTAAGGGAGGGTTATAACCCCCGTCAGCTTTTTATGTCATCTGTGTTCCAATTGGGAGATTTCCCTTTACTTCCCATCTGAAAACCACAACAGAAAGTGAAAGGAAATCCCTTCAAAGAATGGAAAATCCCTGGAGGTCAGCAGGGCCACCAGAACTACATTGCAAAATTTCCTATATTTTCCTTTTCTGATGACAACCCAAAATTTGGAATTTTCTTTCACTTTCAGTGATAACGAACCCCAGGACATACATAGGGTTTTTTGTACTGCTGACAGAGTCAGCAGTAAAAACCTGACAGGTATTCTAATCCCTCTCCACTCTATCCAAATCAAAATAAAAAGTTTTGCCAGCAGTTGCCCTTTAAGGGCTCGTTTACATCATAGCGCATTTATTAATGCACATTGCATGTTGCCTTTTATTAACTGCACCGAAACACAGATATTAATGCTCTGTGTATGACGGCGCACTGCATTGCCAAAAATTGTGCAGCTGGGATTTTACTGCGCATTGAGGTATGCAGAGGGCCCTTTCAAAATGAACAGGCTGCCTTAACGAGCATGCATTACGGTGAACGAACCCTAATAGTCCAGCACAGTTATTGTGCTTTACTCAGATCTGTGATCAGCTTAATAATGGTTTATTAAATTGATATATTTTATCCATAAGTGTTTTTTCAGTATTGATTAAGCAAATATGCCAGCTGCACTGTCTGATATACAAAAAGCCAAAAGAGAGCCA